CTGTGTGTGCCACTGCGTGCACACCACAAGCACACGGACCATTTTGTTCCTCTTGGCTTGCCATCCGCAAAGGATCAAAACGGCAGACAGCAAGTCTGCGATCCAGGAGGGACAAGTGTATAGCAAACCAGTTGTATCAATGTGTCACTCCCCACCCCCTAAAATATGCTGCCTGTTTCATATCCTTTCATATTCATAGGGAATAACTCACTCCCACTGTAAGTGACTTTTAGTTTGTTTGGAGCGGGAGTGGGGAATGCATGACCCTACAGATATAATTACATAGCCATCTCAGCCAGTGGTGAAGGATTATGGGAGATGTTTCCCACCTCTGGTTTGCTGGTTGTGGTATGCTAGGTTTTCTTTAATACTTTAAAACATTCCCTTTTGTAATTTTGCAGAATGATCAAAAGGTTCAAGAGAGTTCCTTATGATGAAAGTTCATGGGCACCTAAGGGATTTTTTTTCTAGCAGGAAGTAGACTGGCAAGCAGTATGTGATCACAGTCGTTGTGAATAGTACATACCACTGCAACACAGCTGTGCGTTTCCTTTGTGCATTCCCTGTGTACCTGGAATCACATTCCATAACCTTAAGGATGTTGCACAGGTACACAGTTACTGTAATCCCTCCACATTTGATGGAGTTAGTGGTGCAAGACCCCCATGAAAGTGAAAAAACTGCAAATAAAAAACACTGGGTTTTTTTTTAACCTATGAGAACACCTCTCTAGGAATCTCTAGGTCCTCCAGTGCAACTCTGTTCAATATCCACTGAAAGTTGACTATATAATTGTGCTGGAGGACCTACGAATGACTAGAGAAGAGTTTCCTCTAGGAACCTTTAGGTCCTCCATGATGACTCTATGGTCAACTTCTAGCAGAGTTGCCCTGGAGGACCTAGAGATTCCCTAGAAAGAATATATTAATCAAATCCCCGAATAATCAAATCAGCAAAAGTCAAAGCCACAAATGTGGATGGCTGACTGTATAACAATATGATTCTGCTTTAGCTTCCATGGCTCCATCCTGTGGAATCCAGGGGATTGTAGTTTAAGGAGAGATGTTTGGAATTCTGATCCAGAGAGCTCTAGTGCTTTACCATGTTACAATTACCAAGATTTGATAGGATGCTGTAGTTAAAGCGGAATTATAGCAATATAAATGTGTGGTGTGAACAGGCCTCTGGAAATTAAACAGTTATTTTTCTTCAGACTTCATCTGTAAGGAATAATGTATTCCAATAAAACTTTATTGGAAGTAAAGAATGTTAAAGAAAATACCTAGGAGTAGATTACAGATTAAGTGACCAAGAGTCAGAATTACAGCATTTATTTATTTATTTAATATCTCACCTGTCTTTCTGTGGGACCCAAGGTGGCTTAGAACAAATTAAAACACAACTAAAAACTATTTGATACAAAAGTTTTTTTAAAAATCAAATAAGCAACTCATTAAAACAATAAATTAAAACACTACAACTAAAAACTATTTGATTCAAAAGTTTTTCTTTCAAAAATCAAATAAGCAACCCATTAAAACATTAAATTAAAAGAGTATAAAATGTAGAAAAAGGAGAAAAAAATCATAACCCATCCTATTAAAAGGCTCTTCTCCCACCATAACCTAAGAGCCAAAGGCTTGTTTAAATAAAAACAGGTTTTTTTAGCTTTTATTTGGTCATGGCCTCCCTTCTCTACATGGGGCTACCCTCGTGCTTGGTCTGGAAACTCCAGTTAGTACAGAATATGGCAGCCAAGTTGGTCTCAGGAACAATGAGAGGAGATCATATAACGCCAGTTTTAAGATCACTTCACTGGCTTCACCGGGCACAGTACAAGGTGTTGGTTATCACCTTTAAAGCCCTAAATGGCTTGGGTCCAACCTATCTTCGGGACCGCCTCCTCCTGTATAATCCTCCCCGCGCACTCGGGTCCTCTGGGAGGAATCTGCTGCAGCCTATAAAAACTAGGCTGTCTGCAACTGCCCAGAGGGCCTTTTCCTCAGTCGCTCCCAGATTATGTTTTAAATTGTTTTATTGTTTAATACTATTTTAAGGGGTGGGTGGGTTTATGGGAAATGTATTGTATTTTTACTGTATTTTTAATGTTGTAAGGTGCCCCGGTTGCGTACGCAGAGGGCCAGGATAAAAATAATTTATCATCATCATTATCATCTTAAAAATCAGGCTGGCTCATAGAGATTAAGTGACCAAGTACAGGTTGACTCTCCCTTATCCAAAAGTCGTAATATTCCAAAAAAACAATACTGCTTTCATGGGTGGCTGAGATAGTAACACTTTTGCTTTCTGATAATTCATTGTATGCAAACCAAGTCATGCACCACATTATTAAAAATGTCATGTATAAAATTACCCTCAGGCTATGTGAATAAGGTATATATGAAACATAAATGAATTTCATGTTTAGATTTGGGTCTCATCTCCAAGATATCACATTATGTATGTATATGCAAATGCAGGTATTCAAAAATCCAAAATAGTTCTGTTCCCAAGCATTTCGGATAAGGAAGACTTAGCCTGTATTTGTAAATAAGCAGGTGTATTATTTACAATAGATCTGGTAACTAACCAGCAGCAAGGTGTAGGCACTGTATCTACCAAGAAAATAAACCTGATATCAGAGAAATGTGTATACTTAGGACTACCTTCTGTTTCTCCCCCATGATATTCAAACAATGACTTGTTTCCAAAGCCTCAATCCTTTCTCTGGTTCTGTTCACACCTTACATAACCTCCAACATTTCACAGATGAAATCCAGGACTCAAATGGCCAAGCAACATCAGATTTTGGTCAAGATGGCAAAGTTATTAATGAGGAAGAACAGAAAAGCTACGAGAGTCTATAGCAGTTTGCTTTTCCCTGAGCTCCCTGGGAAGAGTAAGATTCTGCTCTGCAGAGTTAACTGAGTGCAAAGTATTTTTGCACTTTGAACTCATTTTGCAGCAATGGAAGTAAACTGAGGACAAAGAAAGAAAGTGGGAGATGAATTTTTTAAAGTAATTTAAGAAGTGGGACAACAGAAGATTAATCAGGACTGTACTGTCAAATTTGGAAATTGAAAGTTATGTCCGTGAGTGTAGGAAGCAAGTTCACTGCCTGCTCAGCAGTATAACTCAAAACGTTACTCCCCAGGTAATACATATACGAAACTTGTGTACTTCCATACTTAGGTTCTTTATTATAACAGCAAATAAGGAAACACGAAATGCCTTTGCAGACTGCCAGAAATAGTGCACATTAAATTGAGGCACTGCCCTGGCTCAGTGCTAAGGAATCATGGGAACTGTAATTTATTGGGGCACCAGAGCTCTCTGACAGAGAAGGCTCAATGTCTCAGAAAAAAAAAATACAATTCCCACGACTCCCTAGCACTGAGCCAGGGCAGTGCCTCAATTTAATGTGCACTATTTCTGGCAGTCTGCAAAGGCCCTAACTTCTGAGGAGCCACATTATGTTGCCATTGTTTCCAAGACTGGACAATACAAAACAAAGGGAAAGGTCTCATTCAGTGCTTCATGGAG